CTGATCCGGTCTTAGTCACGTGATCAATAATTTTCGTACTATATATCGATATGTAGTAAACAAGTACAAATTTAATCAAATTTAATATTAGTCCATACAAACTTAATAAATTGGTTCTCATAACCCAGCCGGGTCAAATTTCGCAAAATTCTTAAAAAAAATTTTGACTATTTACTATCCGGTGAGGTTTTTTTATAAGTTTATAAAAATTTTTATATGCTTTTTTATAAGCTTTAACCTTATATAAATTTTTTTGAAAATAAAATTAAATTTTATGTTATGAGAACCAAAAAATTAACTTTGTATGCTCTTACATGTTTCCTTGAATCATTTCGAAAATTTAATAAAAATACCGGTAGTTCAAATTTAAAACAAACAAATGTAAAAAAATTAATATTATATAAATTCATCAAGGGCATTCACAATATCTTCGATTGAATAGGTACTGATATTGTCTTTGACAGGGTGAGGATGAGACTTCTATTCTATTTATTCAATATTTAATAATCTTTCAATATTCCTTAACATTACTAGTTTAAAATCATCCATTACAGTAACAATTACCATAAGAAAAATAAGAAAATCAACAAATTAGCAAATATTGAAATACGACAGAAGTGATTAACTTAATTGTTAAGAGTACAATTATCGATTTAAAATAATATGGCATTACTCTTAATACTCTTAACAAGAGCTTTCTTTTCTTGTCACTTTCGAACGGTTACAACGTAACAATGGATGAATTTAACAAGAAGAAAATTCCATTTTTGTTCATGACACAAAAAAAAACTAGAAATTCGGGTTAAAATATATCGTACTTTTTTTGATACAAACGAAAATTATACTAAATGTCAAATAATCAAACCGAAAACAGTATCATGTGTCTATGATAATTGAAAGCAGGTGGTCGTTGACCCGCTGTCCGTGTTATATTTAAATTATCTCTTGAATGAACCAAAATTATTAATTTGGTATATTGAACAAGCTTTGAAAACAACTCCTTTTTATGGCAACATATTTGTTATACGTATGTATTTAGTTGCACAAAAATTTATTATTCTCGTCAACCAATAAATCTTGAAATATAAAAAAGACACTGTGTACAAATTAGATTTTTATAATAAACATATTACACGAATAGGTGCTAATAGATATGATCAAGCATTTTTAAAAATGTATTCGATATTCCAAAAAAAAAAAAAAAAATTAATATTTGTCGAAAATGTGTTACGAAGTCAATTTTTCGAACTAACAAGCCTTCTAAATTTTTTTCAATTATTTATCACCGAAGTTGCTTTGAAAGTATCATATTCCTGTATTCGATATGTAGACTTATAAAATTTACATTAGTCACCTGATCTTAAATTACGTACGTACGTACGTACAGTACGTTGAATCTATTATGCCGAAATAATAACTGAATCGGTCGAAAAATCATTTGGCTAATTTTATGAAGTAATAAAAAGAAAAAAAATCTTAACAGTTTAACAATAAAATTTATAGATAAAAAAACCTTAGGTTTATTTTGCATTAATAATAGATAAGCGCTTCTAAAAGAAACCAAGATTAGAAAACAAGATTTCAGGCTTTGAATTTTCAAGACAGGGTTGATTTAATTATAAGTTCTAAAGCCGGAAGTCTTGTTTTCTTTTAATAGTACTCGAAAAAGCTATCGCTTTGTTTATTGCTTTTATACATTTTTTTTTATATAAGCCACATGCTGTGCTTAATAGCCACGCACAACATATGGCAAAGTCTTAGAGGATTTGAATTTTGACTTTCTCTGGGGTTTCACCAGGGCTCCCTCGTTTCGCAAAATGGTTTCGCATAACAACTGTAAGCTTTGAAGAATATTATCATGATACATTCGTTTAATGTTTGTAGAAATTTTGACAAATAACTATAAGACCTAATATACAACCCGATATTACATTATATAATTAAAATTTGACTGGAATTATTATTTTTTTAAGTGGGAATTTCGAAGGATTTTAAGACTTTGTCAATTGGCGATCACAATAACTTTAGTAATTCGAAATTTCTGCTTTAGCTAATTTCACAATTTATTGTTACATTAATTAATAATTTAAACATTCATTTTAACCAGGAGAAGCTAGAAAATTAATTGGTCAATTCTAATTTCGGAGTGCGTAGTTTTGATAGGTATTCAGTAAAGAAATACTGTACGCTAGTACAAATTCAGACGGACATACGAAAATTATTCTAAATTTTGATAGTACTGTGTACGTACGGCTAATATAGACTTGTAAAATTCAATTTTTATAAGTAACCAATTTTAATGGTTAGGGTAATTAGTAAAAGTAACATGGGCTTGACGAAGTTTGTCTTTTACAAATCGTACGTACGTACTATCTTGATTTCTACACGTCCGTCCTAATTTGCGTTTCCGTACCGTACTACTTTACTATATACCCAGTTTTGATCCATACTAGATACAACGGTCTTTCTTTTAGGAAAACATCTGTGACTTAAAGCATAAAATGACCAAGCATAAAATGACCGAGCATAAAATGACCGTTGTTCTTTTTATACCAGAAACAAACAGACCATTAACGTCATTAACTATCTTTTTTAACCATATAAAGCATATTTCGCTTGAACTGAACCGAACGTGCATACATATGTACAGTACAGTACGTACGTACGTACGTGGTCTAATCGGACGCATTTAGTTTTATTTCTTTTCAGACATTGGTGCATTTCCGGGCATATGTGTATTATTTGTTCACGTGACTTATTTTTGCATGACAAATTTTAATTAATTCTGATCCTATTAAAATCTCGCCAATCATTATACCATGTGTGTCTTCCATCTAAATAAAGACAAATTATGTCACACTAATATATAATAACATCTAAAATCAAATTAAGAACTTGATTGATCTTGCGTAAAGATGTTTTCTTTCATATCATGTATAAATAATTCGTTTTCATCTAAAACGCCACTGTCACATCTAAAAATAAATTAAGTTGTATATCAGCCCTAAAAATACTAGTGTATATAGATGAAAATCTTCGGATTAATCGGGTACCTTATTCAATACTTTAATATATACTCATTTTAGATCATTTTTTCCCTGAATTTTAAATTTTTTGTTTTTTCTTTTTTTCCTTTTGAAATAGACTCAATGGTCATTAAATATAATGTGATACATATCACAGATAATGTGCTACGTACATATTATTGTGTTTAATCTATACTGCGGCTGCATAATGGATGTTATTTATGCACGAATAAACACATCAAACAAATTAAATTTAAGCTGGTAATTTTCATTTTTACTTTACAAAAAGAAACAAAAAAAGCAACTAATGGTATATATAAAAAAATGTCAAAATTTTTAGAAAGCTTATCACGTAATTTTGCACAACTTTTAGAAAATGGGGATGATTATAATATAATATTCCACGTGGGTGAAGGAATGGCGAAGCAATCCTTCAAAGTACATTCTGTTATCTTGCAATTTCGATGTCCTCATTTATATAATGAATTTAAATGCGTACCTTATAATGGAAATTTCAAAGAGATCTCAAATTTTCACACTTCTGCTAAAGTTTTCGAAATTCTAATCAAGTATGTTGTATTTTTATGTTTTTATTTTCTCTGATGATTTATATGATCTATGATCTAATTTATAAACCTCTTTTGTTTTCATCATTTAGGTATATATATACTGGAATTGTATCATTTGAACAAATGAGTGAATCGACCATCTTTGACCTCTTAATTACTGCAAATGAATTTGGTCTCGAAGAATTGGTTGTACATACTCAAACTCATCTAATTGAAAATAACACTTCTTGGTTACAATCAAACTTTGATAATATCATTCGGATTAGCTTTAATAATAGCTTCAAAATATTACAAACATTTTATATTGACTTCGTTTCTAAGGATCCACTTGTTATATTTGAGACAAATTTTAAATCTCTTCCTGAAAATGCTTTCTTGACCATTTTAGAACAAGATGATTTACAATTAGAAGAAGTTCAAATTTGGGATTTTGTCATTCAATGGGGTGTTTCTCAAAATTCAAATCTACCTCAAAATCTTTCTGATTGGACTGATGCTGACTTTTCAACTTTAAAAAACCACTCTTCAACATTGTCTTCCTTTAATTCGATATTTTCAAATTCCATATGAAGATATTTCGGAAAAAATCCTACCTTACAAACGACTTCTTGATCCAATTCTATGGGCTGACATAATTACAAGATTCGACATTCCAAATGCTTCAATCGTTTCAAATGTCTTACCCCCTCGTCTTCGTAAATTGGCTCCATTCTCGACCTTGATTACCGAAGAACACGCTGCAGAAATCGCATCTAATATAGATCAATGTCCAATTCCTTATGATGTAAAAAAGAACCCTTATGAATTTAAATTAATTCTTCGAGGCAGTAGAGATGGTTTTTCTCCAAAAACCTTTTGGGATTTATGTAATAATATAGATAACACTGTGGTGGTTTTAAAGGTCAATGGTACAAGTGAAATTCTTGGTGGATATAACTCTAGGTTTTGGTATTTACTTCTTAACATTCCTGGTTATAATGTATCACTTGATAGTTTTATATTCTCTTTAAAAAATGGAAATTTAAAACATTCGATCTTTAGTCATGTAAATGATTCCCTTTATGGAATTTATTGTTCTTATTCTTATGGTCCTTGTTTTGGATCAGAAGATTTGATCATGTTTGGTGAAGATTTTAAAAACGAGAAAGAATGTTATTGTAAACCTAATAACTATAAAAAACCTATTAGAAAGATTAGTGACAAGTTTTCAATTGACGAATATGAAGTATTCCGGGTGGTTAGAAAATCTACAAATCTATAATAATTTATAATAATACTTTTCGTAAATTAAATTTTTGAAAAAAAATGAATAGATAGATATCAAACAAACAAAAAAAAAAAGCTTTTCTAATTTATTTTAAATGAATAAAGAAAATGATTAAAGAATGGTTACATTTTTTTAACCTCACCCACAGACAATAAAAATTATAAACATTCCTATTAATCCGGCTATAACAGCATGGTCTAAAAAGCTATCATAAATTTCTATGATATTTGCATTATTGCTTTTTAAGTCATTCCTATTGATCGTCTCTATTGGAGTCGATTCATGAAGGTCTGTCTTGGTAGGAGTGGGTGCAAACAAAGTTTTCGGAAACCTTGCAGCCTCAGAATTGATCCCGAAAGGTCCTACCACACCTGAAAATTCGCTTTGCATCTCATTAACAATACTTAAAGATGAAACTCTGATAAAATATAATTCTATATTTTTAATACTATCAGATTTGATAAATGGAACCACCCACAAATATGGTGATGATTTAGTATTATTCGTAATGATGGACGAATAATCAAATTTTATTCTTGGAATTGAAACCATGCCGACTTGCTTTGGATTGTTATATAATATAATTGTGAAAGATTTAAATATATTATGCATTACTTCATCTTTATCAAATGTTTTTTTATTTGTTAAAGTTGTTAATGTTGTTAATGTTGGTGTAGAAGTTTCAAGTTTATTATCCACATTCTTTAACTTGTTCCTATTTGGTTCATTACTCGTATTCTCTAATGATCCTTTGACTAATTCATAACATTTTTCTAACATTTTCCAAGTAATATATACACGATCGTTTGGATCCAATAACATATTTGGCATTGGTGTTGTTATATTGAAACAAAGATTGTCACTTTTTGTCCATTTTGTAGTTGTGTCAAATATCTTTTCTGTATTTTCTGTCGATATTGAAAATATTAGAAAACTATTTAGGATCAGGAAAATTAAAAATGTAAACATTTTTTTTTAGACGAGTTTATGAGTGTTAAGAATGAGCATTTGAAAATGTTGATATAATGCAAAGACTATATATATATTTTTTTAAAGAAAGGACACCATTATCGTTATCAGTCAGCCGACATGTCGGAGAGTTTATATGTTAGATTTGCATACTTATTGATCAAATTAATAGACGTACCT